TTACCACTGATAGTGAGTACTCCCCTGTCCCAAAAAAAGACAAACCCTGGGTTTTCGTGTCAACGTTTGACTGTCCGTATTATATGAAATTTTTTTATAATAAGTATTTTCATTGTTGTTAGATGATAAAACATGATTAATACTTTATGCGTGACTTATCTTTTTAATTTTTTTATAATTTTTTCAAATAAGACGGACGGTCAAACGTTGGACACGGAAACCAGGGTTTATCTTTTTTTTTTGGGACGGAGGGAGTAAAACTGACTTTGACATTTATTGGTCACACACTTTGTTTAACTCAACTAAAGGCTGAGTTTGGTTGTTTACTTTCCCAACTCATTTCTCTCATTTTCCGTGTATACGTTTTTTCAAACTGTAAACGATGTATTTTTTTAAAAAAAATATCATATTAATCTTTTGAAAAAATAGCTAATACTTATTTAATTAGGTGCTAATAAGTCACTCCGTTTTACTTACCGGAAATTAGTTTTCAACCCATAAAAAAACAGAGACTAAGGCGGGTCAAGAGATACCCACAGAGTAACACATGCCCGTTACTAAATTATCAGTAATTTAGTGATATACAAAACCATGGATTGACACGGCTAAAAAAATTGCTTCCGACTGCATGGTCAGGCGACTCCTTACCGTCAGCAGTAAAAAAATGATCGATAGATCAGGTGTATTCCCCAAATATTTTTATCAACTTATGAAAAGGTAGATGTATAAAAACGGCCAAAAGCCTAAAAGGTGCTGTGTCATAGTTATTAGACGACGGTCAATAGATTATGTGGATCATGGATGAAATTAAACTGGAGAACTACACAATGGTAGCTAGGACAAGAGCTAGCAGCTAAGAACGCCGTCAGCTAAGCCTATAGCTAACTATACACATATCCGTCAGATAGAGCAACTACAAATTTTAGTAAATTAACAATGATATGTGTTGATTGCATCTTGCTTAGGATGCAAATCTCAGGCAAACGCGCTAGCTAGGCGGCTATAGAGACCTCTACAAAAAGCTTATTTAGCTTAGTTATCTTAGAAACTAAAGGTTAGCTTTTAATTATTTGCATTGGCTTCTTCTGCTCTACCGATGTCATCAAGGAAGACCATCTAATCATGCAATCAAGCCCGTTTTGGATTATGCGTTCAACTCGCTTTAGGTGACTAGTTTTTAATAAAAGGAATAACAAAGGAATCCAATATAGCAAACTTTTGTTGAATTTCTCTCTGACATTGACTCTCAACCCGAAATAATGTACGATTACAAGCCGATTGATTAACAATTAGAACAAAATTTCCGCCTTCTCGAAAAAAAATTAGAACATTTGAAATCCTCGGTGGATCCCGGGAGGATGTTCTATACCATCCAAAAAAAAAAAAGAATGTTTTTTCATTTTAACAAAAAAAATTCAAATTTATCAAAATTTGTCCAAAACTTGAAAAATATTAGTAGATTTCTGAATCCCCCCCTCTCCCTAAAATTTCCGAAATTTCGACGATGTATTCTGAAATAATCCTGGATATATTCAATGCATCACAAATCCACAGCCACGCACAGGGCTATGCATATATGCTCGCCAATAAAATGGACATATTATATATCAATTCCACCATTTGTGAATAAATTACATGCTTAAAACTGACAAAACGCCATCATCACGCAACCCTGTGCTACCAACTCTCATGCCACAAACCCAATTACGGCCAAGATACAAGCCGCCACGAGACACAAATGATAAGGACAGGCAGAGACATCATAATAATAAGAGAACAACGAGCTAGTCATGAGAGAGTAGCAAGTTTTTCCGTGTCATCTTAATTTGGAGAAAGAAAAATGCTTTTTTTCATGTCGTAATTTTCCAATTAAATTCTGCTTGAAGAGAGCTCATGTGTCCATATATAATGTGAAAGGGAGGAAAAAAAAGAGATAGATGAAAAAGACGGAAAAGAATTTCAAAGAAAATGAAAATGCCATCCATATAATGTTATTCACAAAAAGTCAGATCGAATTGACAGCAAATTAATTTCCAGAAAACTTGAATATCAAATCATTTATGGGCTTGTTTGGTTTAGTGCCGTACCAAAACATTGGTAATGCTAAAACCTACGTATGTTTTGGTACTACCAATAATTTAGTAGGGTAGAATTTTTATTGATGTGTTTGGATTGATACCAATTGATAGCCAAATTTTATGTTATGGATAAATTAAGCATAGGCATTACCATTCATTTGGCTTCAAACCAAACAATCATATTTACTATTTAAACTACCAAAATATTAACATGGCACATTTTGGCATCAATCCAAAGTGGCCCTATCTGTCCTTTTACATAAAGCAAGACAACTCAAATAGCGCTACAGTACTTTTTTTTAAATAAAGAGATTACCTCCAGCTTTTATAGCATTTATTCAGTACACATGCCATTTAGTTTTCTTGTAGGTGTGTGGTTGTTTACCGTTTTGGTTGGAAAGTACTTGCGTTGTGTTCTTGCGAGAATGCAATTGTAAAGATGATGGCAATTATATCGTGCATTTTATGGTCATAGCTGGTACAAATTGAGAGTACTACTAATTAATTGTTGAAAAAAAATGACAAACGGGGTATAATAGAGACAAAGATGGTGGAATATAACAAATACTAATTTATTTGATGGGAATAAGAGGAGCAGGAGGCAAGACGGCCAGCCTATATTCATTCAAACTCAAGTGGCATAATAACAGCAAAACCAAATTCCAGCACACAACAAATGTGGGACAAAATAGGGCAGGAGAAGGTACATGCATCATGCATGGCAAACAAAACTTAAATTTGCTTTTAAGAATGGAGAATTAATTTACACCTCCGGACTTTGTACATATAGCCAGAAAACAATAATAAAAAAAAGTATATGATGGATGATCACAAGTACTCCTAGGAAACAAAGCTAACTATCTAATAAATCGGTGAACATCTTAATCCTAGGGGTGGGGGGAGCTCATTTAGCTGGCTCAGTGGAACAGTTTAAAATTGCCCTGATTGATTTGGATAAAAATTATTCAATTTTGAATGAAAGTAGTTTTTACAATGGCTCTCCTTAGCTCGTTAAGAATAAATATATGCTGAACTGATAAGGTAAAATATAATAAATTATATAAAAGTAATTTGAAGAAAGCTCGATAAAAAAGCCGACCAAGCTTTTTTCCCCCACTGATCATGACAGTCATTGAGAAAAACAAACAACACATGCTAGCTCATAACCCATATAAGAAAAAAAAAACCCTCTAATAAGCGATCGGACTATATGCTTCTCTAACTATAAATACATGACAATTATCAATCTTAACAAATTCAATACATGTATTTTTTTTCAGAGAATGCGAGAAGATTACCTTATAAATTGACGTATCTTTAAACCAACGTTAAGAAAAGAACAAATTCCATTTTAAAAATCCGGGTCAAGCATTTTATTATGTCCCTCAGAACAACTCACCAGACACGTCAATCCACATTACAGCTGGGTGGTGAAAGGTTGGAAGGCAATAAAAAAGTTTCATTTTCAAAGGGACCAAATATATTACTAGGTGATGTGTAGGTGTGTACACCCCCAAACCAATCACCCACCGGTTGATCACCACACCAGCAGCAAACCCAGCATTCCATAACCAAAGTGTGTGGCCAGATATCAGATGCCACCACCCTTGGCTACAAACTGCAACCGGCCACGAAACGACAACGACCAGCAATCACCAAACCCCCCACAGCGACACCCATGCTGCATACGTGGACGACCCAGCACGAATCTCCGCGCTAAATATTGTTTTAAAATAATTGTCTTGATTTTTTTTAATAATGATGAAAACTGATTCATATCTGTGGTATATAAAAGACACAGCCGATAAGTTATAAAAATTTAGGGGGAGGGGGGGGATTAATGTCATGGGATAAATTCACCCATCCCTTCAAATGATAGCCAGCTGAAATATAAAAAAAATGATCATATAGTAAATTCTATAATGAAAGTCTGAAAGTATTATGCCATCCAAAATAGAATAAATTATTTCCAACAACTGATTCCAAAATTGTGCGACGTAGTATCTTACTCCTTTTGTGAAAACATTAAACACCAAAGGTGGATCAAACTAGTAGAAGATGTGAAGATGACATGTATTTGGCTGGACAATTTTTCGTTTTCACCACTAAAAATTTCTTACATGGTTGTATTACGATAAACAAAGGTTCAAGCTTTTATAATTTGAGAATAATATTGTTTTGAATATTTGAAAACCTTGTTTAGAAAAATAAGTGGCATCAGTCTAAAAAATACGAGTGGCTAAAATCTAAAGATAAATAGTTTCACTTATTATTTATTTCAGTAAAAGAAAGTTTCCCTTATATAAAAAGGGATGTGAAGTATTTGAGTTTTTTTTTGCGCCAAAAAGTATAGCACCACTTCGCAATACTTTTATATATTTAAGATGCAATATAATTTGGTAATATGCTTGTCTAAAATATTTGAAAATATTTTTTTTTATAAAAATCCGACTGGTTAAAATTTTGAAGAGGGATAGTTTCACCTATTCTCCAGCTAAAAGAAATACTCCCTCCGTTTCAGGTTACAAGACGTTTTGATTTTGGTCAAATTTAAACTAATCTAAGTTTGACTAATTTTGTAAAAAAAATAGTAATATTTTTAACCCAAGACAAATATATTATGAAAATTTATTCAATTATAGATTTAATGAAACTATGCTAGTGTTATAAATATTACTAATTTTTTCTACAAAGTTAGTTAAATTTAGAGTAGTTTGACTTTGGTCAAAGTTAAAACATCTTCCAATCTAAAAGGGATTGAGTAGTATATATATATCACTTATATTTAGAAACGGAGTTAGGAGTATTTCTTTGAGTATTTTTCTACCTTTTGAGGGGCATCCCTATCGCAGAAGTCAAACCGGGCGGGGCCCATTCGCGAAAAAAAGCCCAAACCCGCGCCCGTAAATATACCAAATCCACCCCCCTCATCCTCGCCGCCGCGACTCCCAAACCTTTCGATCATCTCTTCGACTTCGTCGGAGTCGGAGTCCGAGTCCACCGCCTCGCCGGAGATGGAGCACGCCTCCTCGCCGCGCGCCCATGGCGTGGTGGTGATCGCGGTCGCCCCGGACCACGACGACGACAGCGGCAAGAAGGGGTGGCGTCTCGCCGCCGCCGCCGCCCCCGCCTTCGGGGACGAGGCGGGGTTCGGGGTGGAGGAAGAGGAGGAGGAGGGGGAGGAGGAGGAGGAGGAGGTGAGGTGGAGGGAGCGGCGGGTGGCGTCGCTGTGGCGCGTGGCCGGGGCGCTGCTGGTGGTCGCGGCGCTCGCGGTGGCGGGGCACTACTGCCTGTACCACGACCCGGCGGCGTTCTCGCGGGAGGAGGGGAGGTCGTCGTTCTTGCTGCCGCTGTACCCGAAGTCCAGCGGGGGCGGCGCGGCGGGGGAGTCGGCCGGTAGCGTCAAGCCGGACGGCGCCGGCGCGGAGGCGAGGGAGAATTCGTCGGCGCTGCTCCCGATCAGAGGCAATGTGTTCCCCGACGGGTGCGTGCAGCCGGTGCAAGAACTCGATTCCATTTCGTATGAAACAGTAGAGTTTTGATCCTTTCTCTCTTCCGAAGAACAAATTACTGGAGTTCTTTTTCGCGATCGGATGCTGGTTGGTCATGATTCCTTTTTATTGGGCGGGGTTATTCATCTATTCTTGCTTTAGGTAGAATTTCGGATTCTTTTGAGTTTGATTTGAGGTGGATTTTTTTTTGGTTTAACCTGCTTGGGCTTTGGAAAAGGTAGAACTACGGTGACTCGAGTTTCTTGGAAAAAGTTGATGGTTTGATTTATTACCTGTTCTTTTACAACAATGATTTCACATGAAACAGTTGAAATTTTTAAATAAATTTGGAAACATTCCTGCTTTCCTACATCTCTGTCCTGTCACTTTGATTGGGATGTTTTGACTGTCATATCAAATTGCATATAAGTCTTGACTATACAAATTGTCTGTTTATACTAGTATTTATTTGTGATTAGTTTAAGTTGAAGTAGGAAGGCTTCTAATGTGCTGGCTCATGGGTCAACGTTTGATGTTCATATTCTTCTTTCTCTTTGTATGATATGTTTAATCTTTGGCAGTTCATGTTCATTGATGTTACCTACCAGAATGCAGTGAATTGCAAATACTAACATGGAATTGGTGCCCTTCTGGGTATTCTGCTTTTAATCTGCAGGCAATATTACACTTCTATGTACATTGGGAATCCTCCAAGACCTTATTTTCTTGATGTTGATACCGGAAGCGACTTGACATGGATACAGTGTGATGCACCCTGCACAAACTGTGCAAAGGTATGCTCCAAATTCAATCACTTTCTTTTTTTTTGTCCTGTTTTTAATTTGGCTTTTTAGCTTTATTAGAATGAGTTTAAGTTAGCATGGATATCTTATTTCACCATCTTATTATGAGTCTAAATTTCCCAATTTCATTGTGTGTTTGTGTAATGATCATCCAACGTTGTTGCAGGGACCTCATCCTCTGTATAAGCCTGAGAAACCAAATGTGGTTCCTCCGAGAGATTCATATTGTCAAGAACTGCAGGGCAACCAGAACTATGGTGACACTAGCAAGCAATGTGACTATGAGATCACTTATGCCGATCGGAGCTCCTCTATGGGAATCCTTGCAAGGGACAACATGCAACTGATCACTGCAGACGGTGAAAGGGAAAATTTGGACTTCGTATTTGGGTATGACTTGATTTCCGATAACTAATTCTCTGAAATTTGTGAAGATGGGATGCTCTTTTCTGAATGGTAACCATCTGCCATCTGTGTACCATCTGCAGGTGTGGATATGATCAGCAAGGAAATCTTTTGTCGTCGCCAGCAAACACTGATGGGATCCTGGGCTTGAGCAATGCAGCAATAAGCCTTCCTACCCAGCTAGCCAGCCAAGGGATAATTTCCAATGTTTTTGGCCATTGCATCGCGGCAGATCCCAGCAATGGTGGATATATGTTTCTTGGTGACGATTACGTTCCTAGATGGGGAATGACATGGATGCCTATCAGAAATGGTCCAGAGTAAGTCCCATCCTTTTGTTTGTGAAAGTTTCATTACTTTTCCCTTGGATACTATGCATCATTTTTACTAGATATAATATGCTCTGTCTGCAAAAGATCTTGAGAAATCCTAACCAACTCTTGTCACCCTCAAGACTGAAAGTACAGGGGAAATTTTGCCCAACTGCTCTTTGATATAATATTTTTAACTTTTTGCAGTTTTGCACTGATGCTAGATATAGATTTATTTTTTTTACACTAGTAATAGTAATCGCATTGATGATTCGATCATACTTCCAAGAAATGTCATGAAACTTATCACAAAAAAAAAAAAGAAATGTCATGAAACTGGCAAAATGCTCTGCATATTATCACTCTTATAATTCACCTAATCTTTTTGCTGTAAAAGATGGGGCGAGCCTATATGTTCAGATGTCAGAAAATTAGCATAAGTTCCAGCAAAAATAAAGAAATGATGCCATACGAGGCTGGTATTTCCTTTTAGCATTGATATGATCTATGTAACTGAAACTTGTCCCTTTTCATTCTGTCAGGAACCTATACAGCACAGAAGTCCAGAAAGTGAACTATGGAGATCAGCAGCTTAATGTGCGACGAAAGGCAGGGAAGTTAACTCAAGTGATATTTGACAGTGGGAGCTCATATACGTATTTACCACACGACGACTACACAAACCTGATTGCTTCAGTGAGTGCCTCTATTAATTCCCTTACATATGGAGCCAGTTCAATCTCATCTTACTCATGTTTACTTGCAATTTTTAACAGCTTAAAAGTCTCTCTCCAAGCCTTTTACAAGATGAGTCGGATCGAACACTACCGTTCTGCATGAAACCCAATTTTCCAGTGAGGTAACGTGTTGAAACTATACGTCCAAAATAAAATAAGTGTTGAAACTACTCATGTGCTAAAGAGGGCAAATTTCCAATGTCCAGTTCCAGATAAATAAACACACAGTTCTTAAACAATCCTCTGCATTTTTCAGGTCTATGGATGATGTGAAACACCTGTTCAAACCCTTGAGTCTGGTATTCAAAAAAAGATTGTTCATCTTGCCAAGGACATTCGTTATCCCCCCTGAGGACTACTTAATCATCAGTGTAAGTTTCCATGATCAACTTTCATATTTATCAAACGTCCAATTAAATTTTGGACATCTACAGCAATATTCCCTCGAAAATTTTCAACAAGGAGAGCAAAGCCATACCATAAGTCATTCATCATGTTTTTCTCTGGAATCTTTTTACAGGATAAGAACAATATCTGCCTAGGAGTGTTGGATGGAACAGAGATTGGTCATGACTCAGCGATAGTAATCGGAGGTATCCATCTGACATTTTCCTTTGGTACATTTCTGTTGCCGAATTCACTCACTGTAGTTTCTAAACTTGCATTTGCTTGCTGTTTATTTTTTCAGATGTTTCCCTTCGAGGAAAGCTAGTTGTATATAACAATGATGAGAAGCAGATAGGATGGGTTCAGTCAGACTGTGCCAAGCCACAGAAACAAAGTGGATTTCCTTTCCTCTTTAAAAGAGTGCTGCAAAATCAACTTTTGTAAATGTCACATAGAAATTGAAATTTACCACCAGCTCGACTGACCATGCTTTACTTTTGGACGTGCAAATTCTACGTTCAAAGCTGCCATAATCAATATCAGTGAAAGTAATTAAACAGGACATAGGGTAAAAAGAAGATGTAAGTAGAGATAGCCAGTAAGTATGTTGTACTTAGTAATTTGTCTCTTCTGTATACACAAAGAAGCAGAATTATGTATATGTATTTTGTAGAATATATCTCAACCACCTGTAAAGAGTATATCTCATCCACTTGTAAGACTAAGTGGTGAAGCATATATCAGTGAAGCCATGGCATTTCTCGTTCATAACTCCTGTTTATATTGTGATTGCTATCTGATGGAATATAGTGAGAATGGTACATAGGGAGCATAAAAAACACACAACAATATATTGCAGGCAACAGCAAAACTTAGCAAAGGGCAATAGAGCAATCAATAAGTGAAAAAAAAGATCTCAACTTTGGGCGAAGTACAACAAAAGGATGAAGAGGACTTGTGAACACACTATAACTTCCTCAGTGGAGTAGGTCAAGAAACACTGTACCAAATGTACTTGAGCGGCCCATGCATCTATAGCCAGGAGCAACAAATTATTAGCAGGTTGATTAAACACATTAGTAGTACAATGGCCATTTTTACCATGATGGATCACTTTAGTGGTAGCAAACTGGAGCTCCATTCAAAAATAAAGCTCGCAATATTCTCATTGCATATACACAAGTGTAGAATTTATACACATTTCGTGGTTCGTAATTCTTAAACAAAACTGTATTGAAAAAAAAAAAAGAATAACAAGGTTTCAGATGAAACTAGTAGGGTCATTTGCGATGTTAACTCTTGATTCCGACGAATTTGCATATTTTATGGAGAAAGCCGCCATCACTAGTACTAACTGCAACAGGCTCCTGCACAGGCTCTTTGAAGTTAGCCTTATCACTCAACTCTTGAAATGCATTAACAACGTTCTGTAGTCGGGCAACAAACTCGATTAGAAGGGAGGCAAATGTGGCCAAGGACAGAGCACTTGCACTTTCATATGTTTTTGTTTCCTCGTCTTCAAGTGGCAGATTTGGATGGAATGATCTTCGAGCAGGCCAAGACAGTAACTTGAAATCTACAGTTGATGATGAATCATGTCTGCTCAGAAATGAATTAACAGCAAAGCTTTTTGAATGATGCGCTGTAGTTTGTTCAACAATTGTAGGCTCCTTCACTTCGATCTTGTTTTCCTTTCCCATAATGCCAGTGCCATTCAGAACTTCTTTGATACCTTCGGCTTGCTTGCTAGTGTCCCATCTTTCAGTATTCACAAGAAGGTACGACTTCTCATCAATCCTTTTTTGCAACTGTTCAGCAGCCAAGTGGACTTCTGCTAGAATATCTGAAGAGCTCAATTTGGTCATTGTCTTGACTTTGTCTCCAAGCTCGCGCAACACTTTTGCACCTTCTATACCAACTCTCTGAATTTCTGCACTAAAAACCTTTCTGCTTTCTGGTGGTGCCTAAGATCAAAATCCGATATATATTTTTGTTTATAAAAATAATAAAAGCAGAAGTCTAAAGTGTGCTATAGAAATTTTATGAGAAAACCTGAATTTCGGAAAGAATACAGCCATGCAATGCCATGACTGCAAAGGAGCAATGCCTCAATGCCCCACCAACTTTGGTGAAATTCCTCCAGGGGTACTTCATCATTTTGTAAGCGCCATGGGGTGGCTCCCATATAGCAAAACCCAACTGCAAACAGATAAGAATGTGATCAATTGACCACTCAAGAAATCTAAGTAGAACTCTTAAATTTAGAGCAAGATCAAACCAGAGTTTCCTCTTGTGCTGATGCCTCAACTGCTGCCCTATAGCCACTATATAGAGGATCATCAGATGCTTGATATACAAGTATTTTCGAAGGAATCCTTTCATACTCCATGCATTTCAAATATCCATCAACGCAACCTAGAATGAACAGCCAAAAACGGTATCAAGCATACAATACTTGATATCATAATTTGGCAAGAAATGCATAAACATCAGATGTATCTATGCTCTATAGCAATTGCAGTGCTAGCACAAAGCCACAAACAATATTCTTTTACCACGCATTTCAACATAAAGTCAAATAACGCAACATGGAAAAAAAATACTATAGATGGTTGGTTTGCGGGGTTGGAGTTTCATACCTTCCAAGGATTTTGCAACACCAATGAAGTTTTTTGCAACCAAATTGTGCAAATCTTGTCCAGCCCATATTGGGTAAATACCTACATTGATTCCTAGACTGACAGCAGCACCAATAGCAATTAATATAAATCTACTCACAGCCGTATCAGTGAACTTCCCTGTGTTGTACCCAGAAACCATGACATAGCAGAATGTCAACAAGAATACGCGGAACCCATACTCATAGGCCTTCATTTTTGGATGCAGTTTCGTCAAGGTTGTGAAAAAAGCTAACAATGAAAAACATCAAAGCAACATACTACAAGTTAGATATACTCACAAGTCAACACTACAGCCAGCACCAGGAAATGATAGACAACAGCCACAGGCAACAGATGCAATACTCACCAACAATAAATATGCTAATTATAAGAATTACTTCCTCCAGCTTTCCCAGGTGTTTGGACAATTCGGCGACTGCTAGCGCAAGCCCTCCAGCGGTAAGGGTACCCAATCCCCTATTAAAACCTTTGCTAAATGTTGCACCTGTATTAACACGAACCACATTATTCAAGGGTGACAATTTATTTTTGAGTAAATTGCACTTTGAGCCATGTTTTAGCGCCAGAGTTTCAGTTTGGACCACCCCTTAATTCATGTTTTCGCTTTGGACTAAATAATTCCCTTCCATTGCATATTGGACTACCCCCACTGTTTATCTCTTCCATCCCTTCTTGCTCCTCCCTGAACTCCGGCCAGCCAATACCCAAAGACGCTGCACGCGCTCGAGCTCTGCCAGCCCTGAGTGGCTTGAGCTCAGCATCCATGTGAGCACGAAGTGTGCACGGAGGAACGTACAAATTATGATACAAACACAAAGAAAAAACTATGATGCAAGCTCAAGCCTCTGATTGGGTGCTTGCCAAAGAATGCATGCCAATCCAAAGAAAATCATGCAAATAACCCATCACAATCAGACCTCAAGAGTCATATAATCGAGGCTAAGACGCTACTCAATGAAACAGCTCAATCTCAAAGCAACTATCTTGCCAAACCATCACCCTCTCAGAAAGGCACTCCTTCCTTAGCGTGTTGCAAAGCGTACTGGTGCTCGGCAATTGACTCGAGCGCAGCGCAACGCCGGTGGAGCTTGAGCATCAGAGGTGCCAACGGATGGAGCTCGTGCCACCCTAGCTGTGGGTGGAGCTTGAGCTCAAGCTAGGCCACAGTGCAGCATGGGAGGAGCTTAAAGCGTGGCAGTGTGCGCAAGGTTCCTCCGGAATTTGAGCTTGAGCCACTCAACACCAGCAGAGCCGAGCGCATTGCAGCTCTTCTGGATCCTAGCAGCTAGCCATAGTTTAGGAGGAGATGAAAGAGATGAATAGTGGAGGTGGTTCAAGATGAAACCAAATGAAATATTATCAAGTCCAAAGTGAAAACATAGCATAATGGGTGGCCCAAATTAAAACCTTGGTAAGAAACTGTAGCCCAACGTGCAATTTACTCTTTATTTTTTTTCAGTTTTACACACAAAGGAATATATCATTTTATAATTATAAAATGTTTATTATGTGAATTGTAGATACGAAAATACTCCCTCTAATCAGAAAAGACATGCGCTACAGTAAAATCAAGTTAATTTTGGGCAAAACTATTGCTTACAATGTATGGTTTGGATATATGAAAATGATGCAAACATTATTTTTATAAGAATAATAATGTTATTATTATAAAGTTTTATGAATATGCAGTAATAGAGTGTGGTCCAAATAGCGTCCTGTTGACTCAAAAAGGAATAAAATGCAAACTTGCAAGCCAACAGTAGAATTATGAGCAAAGCATTATTAATTGTATTTAATATTTCGGCATTAAAACAATATTACAGAAAATAGAAGTTGTCTCCAGTGCAGGCGTTCAGCAGCAACTGTGGTCAATGCTATATTTTTTGTCCTACTCAAACAACATCCACTTCTTTAGTCAATGTGTCCCCTATTTCATTTAATTCTACAGTTGGTTGTAGAACAAAGTGGGTCCAAACAACATATACTATCTAGCAACAAAATTTAGTGGTACTTTCCAGCACTAATGGATAAATTTAGGACGTTTCAGAGAGGCCACAGGCACACGTTCTAAGACGTGGTGGACCATAACCACTTTAAAACGGGGTAAACATCCCAGCACATGAATACTTAATCGTAGTTAGTATCTGCAAGTGAACAAGCAGGAACTCTTTAATCATCAAATCTTATTCTATCACAGGTTTTCTATAATTCTCCTTGTTCGGTTGCACGTTCTACTTACAAGAATAATAACAGAAGGTCAACAGATGAACCAAAATGGAAGACAGGTTCCCCCATTTCCCTTGGAAATAGAATATCTCATCCTCAATGCTCTTGCTCTACACACTAGTACTACACAGACAAATTAGTTTGGGTGACACGATTTGTGAGTCTTGATTTGCAGATGCAACTTCTGATCTGTAAATCTGATCAACTTTTTCTCTTTTTTGCGAAATCTCTACAAAGGAATGAAGAAGGAGAAGTAGCACAAAGTACATCGAAAACCATCGATCGATCGATCGATCTTTAGTGCCTAGAACCACGAAGAGAGCGAAGAAAAAAAAACCAGAGAGTAAGGAATACCGATGCTGAACTCGAAGACGACGACGACGGTGAGGATGGCCCAGACGGAGTGGCTGACGATGTCGCGGGGCTCACGGAGGAACACCAGCAGCGAGATGAGCGCCAGCGCCAGGCCGACCTTGGCCGCGAACACGGCCTTCCGCGGGTCGGCCCGCGCGAACGCCCACAGCTCCTCCGCCGCGCCGCGCACGGCGCCCCACACGCGCGCCGCCGCGGCGCCGGCACGCCGGACCAAGCCCTCCTTCCACCCACCCCCTTCCCCGCCCCCGCCCCCGTCCCCGCCCCTCCCGCCGCCCGGCAGGCCCCACGCCGACGACAGCAGGGGCACCTCCCGCGCCCCGCCGCGCTGGTCCTCCAGCGTCGACCACAGCGTCCCCAGCTGCCCCGGCGGCGGCGGCGGCGAGGACCCCGCGCTCCCCGCGGCCGCCATGGCCGGTGGATCCGGAACGCTCTAGAAGGTTCCCGCGGCGAAGGATTCGGTCGGTGGCTGACGATGGAATCTCAATCTCGTGTGGGGCCGGGGGGGCACTAGTGTACTAGTGGAGTAGTGTGCGTGTCCCGGAAAGCTGGCGGTTGCCGCGGCTCGCGCGCACACTGGCTTGTCTCTGCCCGTAGAGCAGTTGTATCGAGGAGTATGGCCGTGGCACACGGAGATTTTGCCGGTTTTCTTTTTTTTTTTTTCGTAGCGAATGGGTTCAGGACGAATTGAGATCCAAAGCAGTTGGTATTGTGACTGCACACAATCTAAGCCCTATATTTATTGATCCAATGGTCCAAATTGTTTACTACAATAAAATCAGAACCGTACAATTTTCATATAAAAAATGCTACAGTACTAAGAGGCATATGAGCCATCTGTTTTAAATCCAATGATGCTCCTGCGACTGCTTAACTTGCAGTCACAGTGGCCACTGCACTGGAACCGAATCCGTTCAGGACTTGTTTTTCCATGGATCATGACTTCCATGTCTACTACTCCCTTTGTATTTGATCGTACGTCTTATTTAAAAATTTTAAGTATTTATTATTTTTTTTATACATATAGTTTTACATATTTCACAAAAGTATTTAAATAAGACAAACGGTCAATCATGTTTAAAAAAGTCAATAACGTCAAATATTTAGGGACAGAGGGAGTACTATATTTTTTATTTTTATATATCTAAAGTATAAGTCGCTTTTAATTACTCTGGTGTTTGGTCAGACAAAACCATATCGCTGTTCAAGTACCACTAGAATTAACAGTCAGCTCCTGAGCCGAGTATATTAGTGTTTTTGTTTTCATTACACGGAAAAAAAAAAAGGCCTGCGCACACACGACATACCTCAGGATGAATTCGTTCCTTAACACGTAAAGACTTGACAAATTCCTATCCCCACTAAAATTCAATTTAAAACGTATCAACATGTATATATCATATTAATAGGTATAAGGATTTGAACACTTATTAAATGAAGTCGTGCACAGCACAACTCCAGTATAACACCACCAATGTTTCATGAGTAGATTAGCATTAATAACTATAGGTTGTACTAATCAACTTACTAGGATAAATTTACCCTTATCTTCATCTCCTCATTTTTTTTTCTTTTTTATAGCTTTTTTTTAGGCAACTGATATTATCATTGGTTTCTTGTAACATGTTCAACCTCCATATGCCTCTTCTCTGTACACTAATTCGTTGAACTCCCAATGTTTAACCTGTGCCCACCAACTACAATAACCATGGCATTTCTCATTTTAGTCAACCAAAACCTTCTTCCTAGACGACAAACTAAGATTGGATTCTAACGTAAGGTAGGAGTGGGAAGATATATAGGTTGAGAGTTGAGACGAGGAAGAGATATTTTTTTTTAACCTTTGCCACTTCAGAGGATCGTGAGTGGCAAATAATCTGTCACTTTGTGAGAGAGTATATTGTTAATGAGATTGTACTTGTTTGGTTGAAAGTAACAAATAGTTAAACGTCCAGAATAGAAGTGTATCCTAAGAAGGAACAACTAGGGCTACCTTAGCTTCACAGTGTGTGACATCAAGTAGCATCGCGAGATGGCAAATGGCGACAGCCAAGCCACTGCCTAGGCCAACGGTCAATGGTGACAGTTAGGGACTTGTGTTCTTCTAACTTTATGTCGAAGGAGTTGCTTCGAAAATATAGTGGTTCGTTAAGCATTTTAAGACAGTGAAAACATTTCTGCAGATGAATACTCCTATTTCATATTATAAGTTATTTTATCGTAAGTTAATTTTTGTTCAAATTTAATTATGATTGTCATTGCGGTCCTAGGAGAAGTGGTGAGATCAGTCGAGCCAACCAATTGAGTCATTGAAATGACCACAGAAAGCACATCACTAAGCCTAGCTCCTTAGAGCTCCTATTGCAAATTATGGCTTCCTTAATATCAAAATTTCAACAAGGAGGCTGAGCGAGCAAAAACATAACAAAAACTATAAAAACTATAACACCAAAATTACATTTATTCCATCCACTATATCTATTTTGTGTTAAAAATGATACTATATTTTTCTATTAACTTGATATCAAATTTTGAAAATGTCTAATTTAGAACAAACCTAAAAGGCTAGTGAACAGTAGGACCAGCACAAAAACCATCGAAAAGCATATCCACTTTTACTGCGAAGAAACCCAAAGAAGATGAAGCAGAAGAAGAAATCGGTCCCAAAGCTCTGTACTGTACGTACGTACCGATGCTGAACTCGAAGACGACGACGACGGTGAGGATGGCCCAGACGGAGTGGCTGACGATGTCGCGGGGCTCCCGGACGAACACCAGCAGCGAGATGAGGGCGAGCGCCAGGCCGACCTTCGCCGCGAACACGGCCTTCCGCGGGTCGGCCCGCGCCAGCGCCCACAGCTCCTCCGCCGCGGCGCGCGCGGCGCCCCACCCGCGCTCCACCGCCGCGCCGGCTCGCCGGAGAAGTCCCTCCTTCTCCCTCTCCCGCGCTCCCGGCAGGCCCCCCCACGACGCCGACGACGACGACGACAGCAGGAACGGGACCAACTCCTCCTCGTGCGCCCCGCCGCGCTGGTCCTCCAGCGCCGACCACAGCGACCCCAGCTGCGCCGGCGGCGGGGCCCTGGCGGAGGCCATGGCCGGCGGGCTCGAAAGTCGCGCGCGTGCTCGCGGTCGCTCGCGGCGCGAAGGTGATCGCGCAGCTTGCCGGGGATTCGCCCAGGTGGACGGAATCTGGTGGGATTGCGTGCACGCGCCGCAGGCTCCTCTGAGCTTGATTAGTCTAGTTGTTGGGCTGGTTCAGTTTAGAGGAATTTTAATTCATAGGGAATTAGGAATAAGAAAATGAAGGAATGGTAAGAAATGCACACATCAATCTATATAATTTTTTCAAGGGGTTCGAGTGGATGGAAATTTTCTTATGCTCTCTCTATAACTTGGAGGGAAAGAAAAATTTCTTTTGATTTTCATATCACTGGTGGAGAAATGCTCTTTACTCCCGGTTTGGAACCCTTATGAATCCAGATCCCGGTTCAAATAATCTCTTTAGTCCTGGTTAGTAACACCAACCGGGAGTAAAGAGAGGAATTTTAGTTCACTAAAGAGGGTAGCGCCACGTCTCTCTTTTCTTTCTTTTTTCATTATTGCTTGAATATTGATTTCACACCAATCCCACCAAAATCACAAAATCTATACCTATACTAATTGGATACTTTTTTTTTGGAGCTCTCACGTTAATCAGAATAATCTAACCGTTGATTAGCTAGATCATCAAATCGTGACCATAGATTACATATTGTAACCGTGGAATTTTAAAAGCCCAACGACTTATCTGGGCCTCCATCCAATGTACGTTAGGCATCTATATATTGTCCCCTTGTCGTCGTATCGATCTCTGCTGCCGCATTCGACTCCGCCGGCGATCAGATCAGTATCTTATACGTCGATCTCCTTGACCCTGCACCCGAAGAACTCTGTCAACCAGACCCTGCTCAATTCTCATGTTCTGGTATTACTTTATCTATCAAGATTTGATTCAAGTTGATCTGCAGCTACTACAACTCCGTTTTAAAGCAAGATTTGATTTTTTTTTACAGGTTCCTCATCTAAAACTATGTATAAATTAATCTCAGCTTTCGTGATCTTGATAGCATAATCTTGAGGGAGTTTGCAAGGTATATTCGTTTGCTATTAAGTTTATTTCTCCCATGTTCTCTATAAGCAACCAATAGGCTTTACCATGTATCTTTCATGTTTTTCCTATTGTCTTTACAGATCTTTACAGTATCAATATCCACTTATTTCTGAAATTCAAAATTTAAAATTAGCATGTGTAGATCTTTTGACCAAAACCACAGTTAGCAAGCTAACGAAGATAAAAAAATTTTATTGTTAAAATACTATGAATATTAGCAGTATGATGCACGGTTTGACGATTAGATCTATACAAATCAGACATTTTATATTTTCAAAAGCTTCCGCAATAGCTAGAAATATATGACCATTTATTTATATTTTTTAAAAATCTAATAATATATTCTAAATTTCTGAATTATGTATATTTTAGATTCTCATTTTAATATTGTTAATTGCCCAAATTATATATGAACTAAGAAAATGACCAGGATATTCAACATAGTATTAAAAACTCTCATATTTGTTATATACATATATATGAATAATTAATCTGTTAACCCATTCAAGTTTTACATGATAACAAATTAATATCAAATATGACCCGTGCAACGCACGGGTTGACGGCTAGTCATCACAAATTCTAAATCAAGATGCCCCTACATCCTAGATCAAAGTAACAACATCACAAATCATAATATTCACATCACAAATTCTAAAAAAACTTACATCACAAATACATCACAGATCAAATACAAATACATCACAGATCCAACGAATCACAGATTCTTTAAAAAAGGAAAAAAAAGAAAAAAAAAGGAAGAAACCGGCCGCCGCTAGCTCCTGCCGCCGCCGCCTCTTGCCGCGGGCGGCTGCCAACGCCTCCCACCGCGGGCCACCGCCGTCCACGCTCGGGCCCCCGCCGCCACACCCCTCCGCCGGCCTCGCTGGCTCTACCGAGACTTCGAGAGAAGAGAAGAGAAGTTACCGAGAGAAGAGAAGAGGAATAGAGAGGGTAAGAGTGTGTGAGAGAGAGAGGAGGAATAAGAGATAGAAATTTTTGAGGATAAGAGTAAGGGATTATATACGGTATATAGATTTTTAATCCCGGTTAGGAACAACAACCGGGACTAAAGTTAGGATTTTTAAAGATCACATCGTCCCCTTACACCTATAAACCGGGACTAAAAATGCTTTTTAGTCCCGGTTTTCAATGAAACTAGGACTATTGTGGATTTGGGTCGACCGACCAAAGATGGTTTCTTCAGTAGTGCATACTCATTTTTACAATCGAATGACACTTCTAAGAATTATAATCCTTAGAAATCCAAATAAACCATGCTAATTTCCTTAAGGACATCATCACTATATATTCATCCAGTGTGTAATAAGGTGTGACCTACAAAACAGGTTATAATTGTTGCTAGTTATTACAAATCGCAATGTGTAGATAGTAAGGTAGGATGAACCATATCTAAAGCAATGGTTAAAAAAGAGAGTGTGAGAGAGGAGAGAGTTTAATTTTATCTACTGCTTCTTACCAGGTAGAAGTGCTATTGCTAGGAGTCACTGCATCCTTAACTACCCACCTCCATAAAGGTAAGAGAAAATCCATAAAATGCCATCGACAAGCACCTTGATCCTAGAAATGCCATTGACAAACGCAACTTCCTGAAAATGCCATCGTACAAGCCTATTTCTCCCAGAAATGCCATCACACCGTTAGTCCACACCGTTAGAACAAAACATTTTACAAGAATGACTAAATTGCCCTCACTCCAAATAATACTATCCCAATCCACCGGTAAAAAAAAAACTACCGCTAATGCTTGATGCGTTACATGGCCGGCCTGCCTCGAAGGCGCCGGCCTGACACGCGGCTAGCCAGAGGAAGTGGGAGGCTCACGTCAGCGGCGGCGAATGACTCGTCGTCGCTGTGGTTGGAGTCGGAGTCGGCGCTTCGCTCGCCGTCGCTGGAGGAAGAGGAGGAGAGGCGGGCGAGCCCCGCGGCGGTCATGCTCCAGACGCGGGCGCCGCAGTAGGGGCAGCGGACGTGCGGCTCGAGCGGGCCATGGTGGATGACGAGGAACGCGCGCGTCCGCGACGGCATGAACCCGCGGTACGCGCCCACGATGTCGTCGTACACTGCGCCAGCGACGGCCAGTGGCGGAGCTAGCGGCATCGTTGAGCCCGGGCGAGTAATAGCGTTTTTCGGTGATCGACTAATTTTGATAGGTGTTGACAGCTATTCGTAGTGAAGACGACATCGACGGAGCACGGGCGGCCGCCCGACCTGTCCGGGAGGTGGATCCGCCACTAGCGACGGCCACCGCGTGCTCGCAAAGTGGCCCGGCACGGCGGCGGCCGCGCGGCAGCAGAAGAAGAGCAGCTTCGCCATCACCGGCCAACCTCCCCCAATGAGTCGATGCCTGGGACCGTCGTGCGGATGCCTGCTGCCGAGGCGCCGTCGCCTGGGACCACCGTGCCTGCGGCCGACGCGCCGCCGCCTGGGACCACCGCGCCGCCGCATGCCACCTCCTCGCCGCCCGTCGCGTCAACGCCTGGGACCACCGCGCGGACGCCTGCTGCCGACGCGCCGCCGCCTGGGACCGACGCTCCGCTGCCTTCCACCTCCTCGCCGCCCGTCACGTCGACGCCTGGGACCGCTGCCACAGGCGCCGCCTGGGACCACCGCGCCGCCGCCTGGGAGCCCCGCGCCACCGCCTGCCACCTCCTCGCCGCCCGTCGCGTCGACGCCTGGAACTGATGTGCCACCGCCTGGGAGCGTCGCCTTGCCGCTGTCGCCCATCGGGAGCTGGCGATTGAAGTGGAGGGGAGGAATAGTGGCCGGCGATGGGATGGAAGAGAAGGGGATTTATCCTTTGTTGAGGAGGGTAATTTGGTCATTTTGACAAAATTAACGGTGTCTAACAGAGTGAAAGTGACGGCGATGGCATTTTTGGGACAAAATGGCTCGTACGATGGCATTTGCTGGAAGTCGCGTTCGTCGATGGCATTTCTTGGATTAGGGTGTTTGTCAATGGCATTTCATGGATTTTCTCTAAAGGTAAAGTAGTACGAAGACTTCTTACTACTCATTTTGTATGAACATTATGGATGCTCTAAGACACTGACACTGGACTTGCCACGCAGTGAGCATTTTGATGAATTGTTGTACAGCAAAATGTGCAATACTGGGCATTTCGCAAGTTTTTTTTTTTTTGTGGTTTTGGTTGGTTTCTTTGTCACGGATGGGTTGAAGAATGTTTTCTCAGATGGGCGTATATATATGGGAAAATATATGGCGGAAACAAACCTGACATAGAACATTGTAGAGCTAACCCTAAACAAAGTTTGAAAGAGTTGGAATTGCAAAGTATTCTTTTAATTTGAATTCAGTTATGAAATACAATTCTGAACTTAATTAACTATTTTCCTAAAATCTAAAAAAGGTATATTAGGCTATAAGAATTTGACCTTCTTGGTAACACATATCAAACGGATCCTATGTATCTATAAAGTTCATCCCCACTAAGTATAGTTAATGTTAATTCTCTCTCTTATGGAGCCACATCACCTTAATTATTTTTAGCTTTTGGATCATTCATCAAAAGTGCAAATTACATCTCCTCTCTACAAAAGACATCCCATACAACCTAATCATTTACAACCTTTGAATAATTGATCAAGATATAAAATATATAAGCACATGAAAGAAAATCATATAGTAAAAAAGTAAGAAACTTTTACAACTCATATCTTTGATTTTTATCATAATTTTCTCGTAACAACGTGCGAGGTACCATATACTCTCTCCGTCCCTAAATATTTGACGCCGTTGACTTTTTTAAACATATTTGACCGTTCGTCTTATTAAAAACTTTTGTGAAATATGTAAAACTATATGTATACATAAAAGTATATTTAACAATGAATCAAATGATAAGAAAAGAATTAATAGTTTTTAATAAGACGAACGGTCAAACATGTTTAAAAAAGTCAATGGCATCAAATATTTAGGGACGGAGGGGGTAGTTATTATCGAAATGATTCCGATGATGCATGCCCTTCTTAATTTCTATCAATGTCGTTATTATGTTTGTCCACCACCCTCTAGTACTCCTGATTGCAATGGCAGTCCATGTAACCACACCTCTTATTGATGTTGTTATATGGTTGCCATACACATCAGAGTTTCTTATCATGCTCCTATGACATTGATTTATCTATTTAATGTTTTGTGGGAGCGCCGTGACCTTCTGGCTGCCGTATGGGCATTAGTGTACGTTGCACCGCAAATGTAGTTTGTGCCACTCATTTCTTACCTCAATCCCACTTCATAGGGATCCATATCCACTTAGAGCAAGTCTAATAGTACAGCTCACTACTAGCTCCAATTCATCTATATTTAATCTAATAGCCAATTCATATAATAATTGCTTACTATACTATTAATATATGGTCCCACCTGTCATACACACAGTGTGTCTTGGAGTCCGTGCTGCAGCTAGCTACAGATCTGTAGCCCGCTGCTCTTCTCTCTCATCGTTTATCTTATTAAAATATGTTTATAGCTGGCTAATAGCCTGCTATTGTACCTGCTCTTACTTCGGGCGCTAAAGATAGAGACGCACAATAAATGAGTCTAACACCACAGTAGAAAAAAGTGATTTTGCAGTTATTTTTATAGCTACAGTTTAAAACAATCAATTGTATTGTACCGCACTACTGTTTCTTTAGTATTGTAGCATACTTTAGAGATTGATCTCGTTCGTTTGCTGTGAATCGGATGGCTGAAAACACCCCAAAGTCATGATACTGTTCATCTGACTTTAACCCCCCCTAAAGTTAGGGGATCTTAATCACTCCGTAGTCCATATAGGTCCTATTTGAGATAGCTGAAATCAATAGATAATCTGATGTTGTGATAACTACTTGAAGGTATAAATGAGTGACACAAAGTTGAAGTTGATTTAGGAAACTATTTTAAAATTCCTATAAAAAATTATATATAAAACATACAATTTAGAAGTTTAGGACATGCGCAAACTAAAATCCGAAATCACAAGAGAAGCCATAATCTTTGTTTGGATGGACCGAAATCGAGGCCCACACACATTCGTGGGCCGAGTACTCGAGCTAAAATCTCGACCTTACACGTGGATAGGCCTAGATTTCGGCCCACCCAAACAGGCCAATCGTAGGCCGCTCGCCTCCTCCACCTCGCCGTTTTTCCTCCAGCCGCCGGTCGCAGCCTCCAACCTTCTAGAACCTTCCCCACCGGCGAGATGTTCCTCTCGAAGCTTCCGAACCCTCCCCGCCCGTGGCGTCCTTCCCTTCTAGAAGCCCCTCCCCTCCGCACCCTCCCCCGCCTCCTCCCAGCGGCGGCGCCCTCGCCGACGAGACGGCGGCGCCTCCTCGCGCCTTTGGCCGCCGCCTCCAATTCAGGTTCTCCGTCGAAGGATTCCAACCGGTCGCCGCCGCCGCCGTCGAAGAAGAAGAAGAAGAAGAAGAAGGCGGCCGATGAGAGTGGGAGGTGGAAGTCGGTGCCGCCCGGGATGCGGGAATCCGCCGCCCCCGTCCCCGACGAACCGCCCGCCTCGCCTTGCACCACGGCGCGGCGGCGGGCGCGGGCGGCGTGGCGGAAGGTGGCCTCGTTGGTGCCCCGGAAGGCGAGGAGCGTCGTCTTGCTCAATCTGGTCACCATCGTCTTCGGTACGCACGTCATGTACACCCTGCGTTGTGAAAACGCACTTGCCGCGCTTGCACATCACCTGTTCGATGTTATTACGGAGAGAAATGGACAGTACTTGAACAATATTTGATCCTTCTATTTAATTGCAAACTTCATGGAACTAGTGGTTTTCTGTTGAGATGTCTTCTATGCTGCTAGGCTATTTGTACGTTTGCATTTGGGATATGCTTGAGTTGCGAGAGAGTGTTCATGGTCGGTAGGCCTTTGTTTCATTGGTATAGTTTATCTATGTATAGTGAACAGTTTGGTTTACAGTGAAACAGTTCATCCAATTTTTTTTTCATATTTTGTATTGAAACAATTCTCTTGTCAATAATGTTTGAGTTTGATTTTTATTTATTGCAGCAAGCAACATTTCTGTTGTTAAAGAGGCGGAGACTATGTTAGATCCTGATCTTTTCAATGTATTGCGCTTCACTATCTCAGCCATTCCTTTTGTACCGCTCTTGTTGAAGGCACTCAATGATGTTCAAGTCTTTATTAGAGGAGTAGAGCTGGGCATTTGGGTAGCCATTGGTTACCTTGCTCAGGCTATTGGTTTAGTCACAGCTGATGCTGGTCGCACGGCTTTCATTTCGTCCCTCACGGTAACATGTTTCTCAAGCTTAGTCCAATAAGGTCCTCCCTAGAATATATAGATTTTCATGGTTCTTTACTCAAATATGTTCAGGTGATCATTGTCCCTTTCTTGGATGGGATCCTTGGAGCAGAAATACCTGCCTATACATGGATTGGAGCACTTTTATCCCTTATTGGGGTTGGTATTCTGGAGTTAAGTGGTTCACCGCCATGTGTAAGTCAGATTATCCACATGAACAGGTTAACAAATTTGTCTGCACTTTTTGTCTATTTTACTTATGACTACAATATTCCTCTCTGTCAAATATCGTTCTTGTTAGAATTTGGTCCTTCGGTCCTCTGGAGTACTGATGTTTTCTTGGTAATATCATTAGGTCGGTGATCTTCTGAACCTCCTTAGTGCCTTTGGTTTTGCAATTCATATGCTCAGGACTGAGCATATTTCCCGAAATATGAAGAAAGAGAATTTTCCAGCTCTTGTTGGATGCCAGGTTTGTTCTCCATTTTTGCAATTTATATCATGATATTTTTTTTTACTCTGTTACAGATGAGGTGCTAAATAGGAAATGTAAACCCAGGTGCTTGTTGTAGCATTTGTATCTGCAGTCTCATTCTTTATTAAATGCTCCGCCAAGAATGTGCACCAGTGGACTTCACAATTACAGTCACCGATGAAGTTATTTGGTGTGATGATACAGTTTCCCTGGTTGTCAATACTATACACAGGCATATTCTCAACTACCTTTTGTTTATGGGCAGAGGTAACATTTTATCCTCACTGCATCAATTCTCTTCAGTTGAGGACAACATTTTGAAGTGTTAATTGTGTGGACCTTTTCATTGTCTTAGGTGGCTGCTATGCGTGATGTATCAGCTACGGAAACTGCAATAATTTATGGTCTGGAACCTGTATGGGGTGCAGCTTTTGCATGGGCTATGCTTGGTGAGAGATGGGGCATGACAGGATTTGTTGGAGCTATCTTCATCATAGGTACATCTTACTACTAATCTTTTTATGTTGTTACTCATGATGGTCTCTGACATTCTGGACTAGAAATGTTATCTACCAAAAAAATAGTTATTAGCCATGATCCAAGAAATGGAAGGATCATTCGTTGGGGAAGATCTCAAAACAAGAAGATGATATGTTTTTTTCTTGTTTTTTTTTTCTTTTTCAGCTGGTAGCTTTATGGTTCAGATACTGGGATCATTTCCTGATGTATCTAGAGGGGACAGTTGACATGAAAATTGAAGAAGCAGATGAACCATTTTTTCATAAATAATTCAGCGAACTCTTATTAGTGATGATTGAAGTGTTGCTACCTAATAAGAAAGTAAATAGCTAGCATGACAGAGGAATCAAAGTTCGCTGCCTCAACGAAAAGTAAATAGCTAGCATGACAGAGGAATCAAAGTTCGCTGCCTCAACGAAGATAAAGGTGGCTTAGTAGTGACAGCAGCAAGAAGGTGCCTTGGATTAACTACCTGTTGGCTGGAGATAAGCAAAATTTTGGTATGCATAGCTTGACTTGAACATGCCGAGGCTTCATTCGACTAATCGGGTGGGATAAGATATAATGTATTACCCCTGTTCTCAAAAGAATTAATTCACTTTTATACACGAATCTGGACAAGTGCCTGTCAGATTCGTGTTGAAAAGTGAACTCTCTTGTGACGGATGTAGTAGGGTGTTTTTTTTTTTATATCGACAACATTTGTTTTGAGTGTAAATTCAACCACATGATAATGAATGGGCAGTAGCAGTATCGAGTGTCTTTCCTTCAGGCCCTGTCGTCTTTCATCGTCATCGAGCTTGTCTCGCAGCAGAGGATCAGAAAACATGTCACCGTTCATCGTCAAGCTTGTCTCGCAGCAATCTGCCAGAAACATGTCTATCTTTCATGGACATCAGAGACACCTCCAGAGCCTGCACAAGTGTACGACTCTGTCCTCCAGCAATGGTGCCCACTGCCCTCCAAGGCTTCTCAGCAACGTATCCCTGCAAACATTATCCATTGCTACAACGACAGCATCTACCATCACCTGTGTGCCATAGTAAACCTCTCCTCTCACAAACTTCTCAATTTTTTTTTCAGATATGGACAATCTGATTTATTTTCATCGCCTCATTGCTTTGTCCTCACTCTTGAATTTCATTTCACCATGATCCGACATGTCAGGTCCACATACATGTCAGCGGTGTGCCGACCCCTCATCGCAGTAAAACTGGTCACACACACACATACATACATACATCTGAAAACTTCTGATCTGACCACGGTCACATAGGACTGTGTCCCCTGGCTGTCCTCCTCCACTGGAGAGACGGTGATATCGGTGAGTGCATTCACTGGCGTCACGAGGCAAGGTGAGTGAGTGAGAAGCTACTGTTGCTGTAACGCTGTTTGCAGTGTGTTTTTTTTTTTTTTTTTTTTTTTTGCAAACAGCAACCAAGCTGCCATTCAGCTTCGTCTCGCTGCGCATCGGCATGTGCAAAGATCGACTGAAAAAAGGGCGGTGCTTTTCGCAAGTTTCCTGTGTCGAGGTCGAACGCTACATGATGCAGCCACTAAACTCCCAAAGCTTTCTTGACAGTGGAGGTGGTCTCGGCAGCTGCCTGCCTGCCTGCTCCACTGATGCAGCTGAGCTGCTCATCAGGTGGTGGGTGCGGCAACACAACATACAGCCATACAGGATACAGCAGTAGTGCAAAGAGATCATCACAGCATGACTGATTGGTGCTGCAACCAACATGGATTGAGGAACAGCTGAGCTGGTGAACAACAAAATATATGTACAGGATGGTAGTGTAAGAGTGTCTGATCATCATCAGGGTGTAGTACAAAAACCCCTCCCCAGGTGTTTGCCATTGCATTGCACAGGTCAGGACTGAAGAAGATTAGTGCCTCTACTTCCCCCCCGCTTTTTCTTTCTTTTGTTACAGGCGTCGCGGAGGTCAGGAGAAGCGAAAACGCGAGCGGTAAATCTAATCATATAGGAAAGAAACAGGGATAAAGAGAGAGGGGGAAAATTGAGGGCAGAAGGGTTGGTTGTTTAATAGTAGTAGCTGTTGTTGTTGCCGTTGCTGCTGTTGTTGTAGCCGATGTAATTGTTGCGATACCGCATCCCGTACTGCTCATAGAATGTGTCCCCATAGTTCACGGCCTTGATCTCCACCATTCGCCGCTTGGTGTCCACCTCCTGGACAGCACCAAAGACGATCTCGTTTGTCGTCTCGCAGCTCTGCTCGTAGAAAGTTTGCGGGCCTGCGGAGTACTGCCTGTGCTGCTGCAGGTGCTGCTGGTGGTACATCTGCTGCTCTGGCTGTTGCTGAGGGGCATGCTGCATGTCCCAGCCGTTGAAGTAAGGCCGGCCATGGCGGACATGGTGAACTTTTTCAGGCTCCTTCGTCATGAAGGCGTAGTTCTTCCGAGGAGTAGCTGCTCTCATGTCCAATGGTGGCGGTGTCTCATCATGTGGGATGGCGTAACTTTCTTGCACCGGCCAAGGGTTGGCTCTTTGCTGCTGAAGGTGATGATGGTACTGATGGGTTGGGCGTTTCTTTCGTGAGAATATCTCTACCGCAGATGATTTTGCTCCTCCGATGAGCTTGCCGATTGAGGTGAAGAACCCCTCTTCAGCCTCATGTTTCCCAGCTTGATCTTCGGTTGGGATCAGTGGAGGCCGAAGCGAAGGCTTTAGTGGCTTCTGATATGGAGGGATGCTTGCAATGCTGGGTCTTGGAGGAGTCTGAGGTTCCTGTATGGTCAAATTTCCATACAAAATAAGGTGGCGATGAAATTAGAAATAAAAACAAAGCGGGCAAGAGAACATGTATGGTATTCGTCTTTGCTTTACCATTGGTCTAGAGTCTACACTCTAGAGGTACAACAAAATTGATTGTATTACTTTATTTTGTATGTTACCTTTTCAGTGTCCTTGAAACAATGCACCTATGGTTATTCAGAGTAAATGGAACTACTTATTTCATTTTAAAGCTGTACCATGATCTACTTGAGGTCTGTATTCATTGTTTATAGTACAACTGTGGACTGTGCTCTTATAGTTCTTGGCCTTACATTTCTTGTGCTTCGAAAAAACGTAAACAATATTTTTGTTCGCATAATAACGCAACAAAATGAAGCACTTACATCTGCTGTTGATACCATCCCTAAAACCTGTCGCTGAAGCAATGCAAGCATGTACCCAAAGAAACCAGCAGCAAAAAGCAATGCAATGCCTGTGAATTCAAACTCAAATGGTTAATGTCCACAGTTTTAACATGCCCTTATCTATATAATATGTAGGTCATTCGACTAAATGTGTAGATCTGAGACGATTTTTGTTTAAAAAGAAAATGGGACAACAATATTGTCTGGTCAAGAAGTACTAATAGAAAGCTTATTGTAATGTAGATGCACCTAGTGGAAAACCAGCTTCATACTGATATTCACAGTCATCATTGTGGAGTGCAATCTCGCGAATTGCTTGGTTTCCTCTATCAATAACCAAGAGGGAGCAGCTACTGCTGATGTAGCGAATTTCAAAATCAGTAGAAAATTTTGCATCATCACTTGGCCCATCTAGGTGCCCACCTCTCATTGATTTCCCCCCAGCAATGGTTGTAACCCCTGCATATAAAAGCGGTTTGTCAGAGACATTTTGATTTACATGACTAAGTGAATAATATGCATGCTAGGCCCTTCCAGAAGTCCAAACAAAGTTCATCAGAAGGAAAACTCAAATATGAAGTTCCTTCAGAACAGATAAATTAATTAATTAAAAGAAAAAAAATGTATACTTGAAGAATTTAAAATGGATAGAGATATTAAAAGCAAGCATATAAATAAATTTTCATACGAAAAAGAAATCTACCTTACAAATATACAAAATGTTTTGTGCATGGCTGCATGTGCATAAGTGCATTATAAGTGCACTACAAGTCTATAACACACTCATAACATACCCAATCTCAATGAGTAAATATGATGTCATGGGTTACAGACATCACTATATATCAAGAGTGAGATCATTCTAGTATATAAAGTCCAATCATGTAATCTTCCTGTCCACTTTGAGGTTCATTTCAATGTGTGACATCTCTTCCACTGTTGCAACTTGCAAAAGCAAGTGATACTCAATTTTCTGACATCAATAGTCACATAACTGTTAGGATGTCATGATTTCTGAAAACTTGGGGACATTGTAAATAAGACAAATGCTGATTAGAAAGTTTTATAACCACGATTCCACAAACACTTCCATGGATCACACCCCACTTAGACTATCATTTTGGCATTTAAAACTGTGGGTATGACCTTTCCATGCACTCTGACAACTTGTTTCAAATGCACCTTTGGACACAAGTGCTGAAGAGTTACAATGAAAACCAAATAGCAAACATAGGATGCTTGGGGACCAGACAGTATCATGTGCAACAACCCCATATAAGAGACACTTTAGCTTACCTGTATCACTGATCTTTCTTATTGCCATATTCATAGCATCTGCAACATAAATGTTTCCCCTATCGTCCACTGTAAATCCCTTCGGATGGTTCATCTTCGCCTCCCGCAGCCTCCCGTCGACATGGCCGGATAATCCTTCCGGCGAACCAGCAACAAGCTTCGGTCTGCTATCTGTAATGTTTGATCCATTTTTTACAAGATACATCAGAATCTGGTGATCTCAAATGCGTCAATTGATAAGTAAAATGTCGACACCGATTTTTCGTACAGTGCCTTAAAAAAAAACATCAGATAGTGAAGCTTTTGTACTAATTTGGACAAACAAATTACGATGTATTTCATTTCACCAATGATTTTTCAGGTTCCTGTTTAGTCAAATCCTAAGATAGAGGACAACTCCAGTGTCATCTTTCCCTAAACAATGGGAGTGAAAGTGACCAAGTAGCAAAGCACAATCACATCATAACCTATAATTGCAAACAAGAAACTAACAAACATTTCGCAATCAACAAACAAACTAGCCTGGACCAAAATCTAGCATGCAAACATCATCAATCACAAACTGACCAACCAAACCAAACTCACAGCCTCACATCATCGAGTTGACAATCATCATAAAGTAGTACTAGTTAGCAGAATCCCATGAAGAAGACTGTGAGTCAGAGCTGAAAAGCTAGTAGTAGGAAGGAAGGAAGGAAGAAGAGCTAGCAATGCTCACATCGCGACAGAGGCAGCTGGACCCTGTAGACGTTGCTGTTCATGGAGTCGAGCACGAGGAGCTCGCCGGAGGGGGTGACCTCGACGTCGTGCGGCTCGATCCCCAGCTTGCTGCCGTCGAACACCGTCTCCACCGCGTACCCGCCCTCGTACTTCACCATCGACCTCCCCGCCGCCGCCGACCCTGCCGCCGCCGCCGACCACCGTCAATAATCCGGTCAAGAAACCGGAAGAAGCGCACACACAAGAACTGAAATTTCTTTTCTCCAAGGAGGAGGAGCAGACGAATTACCCGTCCTTGTGGCGGTCGATTTGAGCGACCAGAGCTGCTTCACCACCGCCGACGCCGTGCTGGACAGCAACCCGGTCACCACCTCTGCCACCAACCATCCCAAAAAAACACACGAATTCAGCCAAGAAACAGTAGAACACCAAAAACCAAGAAGAAACCGAGAGCTTGCTCGCTCGCTTACTCGCGGGGTAAGACGACGCCGCGGAGGCGGTGGCGGCGGAGGCGGCGAGAAGCAGCGCGGCCACCAGAACCGCCGCGGCTCTACTCCTCCTCCTCCTCCTCCTTACCGCCATGGCCACCGCAAGAAGCAAAGAAAAAAGCGGCGAGGAAAGGAAATAACCAAACCGAAGCTTTAGCTTTGCTTGCAGGAGAGGGTGAGTGCGATGCGAATGCGAATGCGAGCTATGGGAGGAAATGCGAGGAGGAGGAGGAAGAGGTGGCCATTTGAGGACAAGTAAAGAAGGTTCAGAAAACACCAAAGAATCCGGCCTCTTTTTGGGCCCTGCAGTTGTCGCTCTCCGGGGGAAAAAAATGTGGGCAAGAGAGAGTGAGACAGTGAGACAGTGAGAGTGAGGAAGAGAGAGAGAGAGGGTAAAGCAAGCGAGCGAGAGAGAGAGAGAGAGAGAGAGGAGAGGGAGAGCGTGAAAGAGACAAGAGAGAGAGGTGGAGTGGAGGAGCTCGCTGGCAATGCTGCTGCAGTGCCGCCGCTGTCATTACTGCTCGCTGGCCCCGTTTGCACGGTTTTCCTATCCTCCTTTCCGGGCTTTAGCTACGGTTTCCGAGTGGTTTTTCCTGTGGGTGATTTCAGGGGTAGGAGTAGAGGGGGGGGGGGGGGAGGGGTGGGAAAAAAAAATTCTGTGCGGCAGTTTCGCATGGCACTTCTCGTGCGACACCGTACGAACTGGTGACGTATGTACAGCTACCGACCGCACAAGATTTTTCTTTGAGCCGAGCCGATGCCTATCGCGATTTTTGCTGGAGCCGAGTCGACGCCTATTGGGACGAGTCAAAGCCGCAGGCCGCAGCTTAAAGGCAGCCATCGCTCTAATCTGCTATGGTGACGACGGCAGCGGCTGCTGCTGCTTCTGTAAGGGCCCTGCTGCTCCCTTGTGGCAGCCGGTAGGTATAGGGGTGAAAACGGTAACGGTAATTACCGGCCGACCGGCGTTCGTTTTCGACTTTCTACCGGCCGAGCCATATGGAAATGATAATCGATCGAAACAAAAATGGAAATGGTAAAAAATATGGAAATGAAAACAGAAATGGTTTTACTGTTATACCGATCGTTTCCGTATTTACCGTATTCTTGTGAAAATTACCGTTTCTTATAATATGGTAATTACCATATTCTAAATATGTCGATATTTATAGAGCATGTCTATACTTGACCCGCAGCTTACATATTGACTGACTCTTCAATCAAATCTCTAACTTTTGTACATGGCTAAAATGAAGTTAATTTATAATTTATATAGTATAAGCTTGAATTTATGTATACATATAACATACTTATGTAAAGTTAAATATATGTTTTTATAGTTTAATGTATCCGTATTTGTTACCTGTTTTCGATCTGTACCGACATGTTTCCGTCTGTATTGTTCCGTTTCCGGTTTTCCGATATTTCCGATATCGTTTTCATTTCCGAATTTACCGTTTCCGATTTCATTTCCAAGAAAAATATGGTTACGGAAATGATTGAGGCTGTTTTCCGATCGTTTCCGACCGTTTTCATCCCTAGGTAGGTAGGCAGGCAGCGGAGCGTCAGAGCGCAGCCACGAGCAGCAAGTCGGTGACAGCGCGGTGCCACAGGAGCACGCGAGTAGAAGCAACAATGCAGCAGGTCGTCGGCGGCGGCGCGGGAGCGCGCTGCGTGCGAGCAACAACAGCGCCGCGAGAGCTAGCAGGTCTGCAGGGAGCAGCAGCAGCTAGCAGGCCAGGAAACTCTCACGCGGGCGGCAGCCGGACACGCGTCGCCAGTTCGCACGGTGTCACACGAGAAGCGTCATGCGACGCTGCCGCATAGAATTTTCTTCCAAAGGGGTGTCTAAGGATTTTCATAGTGCACTGAAGTGGAATTTAGCCCAAGCTAGCCACGTCGGAGATTCCACTCCATGTCTACCTATTGCATTGCTACATGAAGAACGCAGAGCCAAATATTGCCATAGGTTCCTCGTTAGATTTCGCAGGTCTAGACCCACACATTCGTGTCCCGTACTCTAGCTCCACCAGGTAAAAGAGTGAGAGGATCGAAGGAGAGGCGGCGAGGAGGATAATGAGAAGGAAGTGGCCAGATCTGTCAGGGGAGGAGGCCGCATCGCACGCAGCCGAGGAGCTCAACGGCGGTGGCAGCCCCTTGCGACCCTCCCTCCAGCTTGCACCACCGAGCTCCAGCTCCGGTGCTCGATCCACCCACCGATGGTCACAAGATGCAAGGACTGGGACGGGAGGCAAAAGCACGTATGCCACAGACCTCGTCAGAGCTCGCCTTTGTCGGCGCCGTAGCCCTCGTTGGAGCTCACCTCAACCTCGCATGAACCAAAAACATAACCGCGGATTCGAGACAGGGGGGTGAAGCTCGGCGGCGGCTTAGGCCAAAGTTATTGCGAGGTTCAGCGAGCTCAGTAGCGCCGTCGTCCAGAGAGGTGGTGCCACCCCGCTGCTAGCCGACTTCGGATCCGGTGAGTTTGGTGGCGTCGTCGCCTGGAGAGGTGGTGCCATCCCGCCGCCTCTCCGTTCCCCGCCTAACGCGTCGCCGCTTGGGCCGCCTAGTGTCTCACTTCCTTTGCTTGGTGGCTGGTGGGAAAAGGCAAAGGGATGAGAGGGGGAGATGAAAAGTGAGAAGAGAGAGACGGTTGAGACCCACTATAATAAGTAACATGTACTGTGAAGGAACCTATTTAATACCACATACACTATGGAGGGTGTTTCTTACACCGTTCCTAGTCTAGCTGGAGGCTTTGGCTTCTCAAGTACGGTAGCTGCACTGCTATTGCCCTAAGAGCATGAAAATATCCTTCCATGAAGTGTCTCTAACAACATCTTTAAATATGACTCTCTAAATGTCTATTTAGTTAGCTTGTTAAAAAAAATTAGAGAGCGAAATTTACCTTTAACTTTAACATCCTCTCTATTTATCCTCTCCAATCCAATTGTGGGCTTCACATGTCAATCTTTATTTATATTTTCTTCCTCTCCAATACATCTTTTCCCTTCCCACCCACACCATGGCCACCACATCACATCATTGGCAACGAGGGTGGGGAAAGGAAGGAAATAGAGTGGAGCTTGAGTAGACAACGATAAGTAATGAAGGCGGTGGATGGCGGTAGGCTTTGGCATTGTGACATCCTAGCTCAATTAGGATGTGGCCTATGTGACTCATAATTAAATGTTGTGTGCATTTTATTAGTATCACCTTACGAGTTGAGCAAGAGTGAAACCATATAAGTTATTTTTCCCTCCAACTATATACCGCTCACGGTAATCAATATACACGAAGCGAGTATATAAAAGTGTAAGTGAGGTGCTATGTGTAAATGGGTTTGCTTGTCGGATGGGCTGGGTTGCGTAGTTCTGGAGCGCGGGCTATTATAGGCAAGGTCCGGTGCCCCTACAAGAAGTGCTCCGCAGCCTTCTCCGCCGCGTCGACCTGGGGCTCATCGTGGGCTTCCTCCGTGTCATCGTTGCCGTTGGTGCTTGGTCTGGCTCGCCGCCCTCTCATCGACGGTGGATGGGGCAACATAAGTGGAAGTGGACCACGAGAATTGCTGGTTGGCTGGCCAAATGCCTCATGGCCTGCCTCATGGCAATGTTGGAGGGCTACTTTTTTTTTCTAAAGTTGATTAAATTTTGGTTTAGAGAAGCAAATGGAGAGACTCTTAGATATGCTTTTACAGATTAATTTGACTTCTCAGAACAAAAAAGTAGACCACATAAAAACACATCAAATAGAATCAATCCTCTTCACTCCTACTCTAGCGTGAGACTCCACCTCCTCCTAGCGCACGAACGAGCTGCACGTTGTAATTAGGAGCCAAACCTCGCCTCTAGTTGTGGAGAATGAGAAAAAATCAGACTTAGGATTTTATAATACTAGGTGATTTACGCGCTTCGCTACGAAAATTACTACTTTTAATATTTTTTAATAATCAAGCTAAAAGTAAAAATTATATTAGTTATTAACAACAAATAAAACTGGTTTGTCAAACTATGTTCAGAGAGAAATAAATTTATTAGACTCTGTATAAGATTGTAAATGAAATATGATATCCCGCACTTTGATTATATGGATGGATATATATTAAGTATTATAAAAATAATGGATGTATATATGTTAAAAATATTGTGAAAAATAATTTGAAGAAGATGATTGGATGTTGATTTGTAGAATTCAATAAATTATAGGGCTGTGTTCGTTTGTTTGTGTTCCCATCTCACCCTCTCGTTTTTTCGTGTGCACGCTACTAAATAGTACTTTTTTTGCAAAAAAATTCTATAAGAAAGTTGCTTTAAAAAAATCATATTAATCAATTTTTTTTAAAAAAATAGCTAATACTTAATTAATTGTGTGCTATGAGTCGCTCTGTTTTACGTGCGCACGAGATTAGTTCCCAACTACAACATACAAACTCAGTCTGATGTTGCATGCTTGTATAAGTTTTGTATATAATTATTGCTAGTGGATGATCAGATGGCATGTTTGCATATTGAGTTTTAAGATTAGTGGGTTATGATTTTATAGTAAGATGGATTAGGCATGTGAGCATAGATATTGCTAGATTAGATTTTTCAATAATATATTTTTAAAAAAATTAGGATTGATTTTCATTTTTCATAAACTGTTAGTCTTGTTGAATGGAGGTATGTTTATCTTAAGATGTAAGCCATTTATTTTTTCTAATTCAATAAATAATATCTATTTACACTATCACATTAACTACTGGTATTTTTTTCTACTAGCGGTAGGACTCATAAATTAATTTATAGTTAAGATCACTTCAACAGAGATAATACTGAAAGTAGAATAATACTAGTGGAGAGTATCGTAAAGGTACTCGTTTATGTTCTATGGGGGATTCGGATTCGGTGACTTTACTATGGCATGTCACGGTGTGACATTGGAGCGATCTGGGGCGTTGAAAACTAATCCAACGGGAAGCAGCACCGGCCCACCTCCAGCACCAGCAGCATCTGCCTCCTCCCCTCTTCCTCGCCAGGCGCAGGGGCACAAGGTGGTGAGCCTGGCGCAGCGGCACAACAAGCGGCCGCCGGCGGCGACGGGGCTCCGCCTCGACTTCGACGACGGCGGGTCGGAGCACGTGTCGACGACGACCACCTCCTCCGCGTTGTCTCTCCTCTCTGACGAGCTCGCCACGCAGTTCGACCGGTACAAGAACGAGATGGCGCGTATGTTCCAGGATCATGTGAGGATCGTCGACGTCGTCGATCGTGTTGATTCGTTGCTTGCTGCTGGTGGTGTTCGACTATGCGTTTTCTATGGTGGTGGCGTCGCTTTTGCTTGCTTGTTGCAGACGGGGAGGCTGCGCCGGACTGCCG